GACAATAACGATTGGCAATCGAACAATCGCGAATTGGAAGTTGAATGTTGTATTGGAGATAAAATTTGGCAAATGATGATATGATCGTGGTGCATTGATTGGCATTGCTATACAACGATTTATATAAATGGAATCCGCATGCCTATCCATTTCCGACGCGTCGAGTAAACGCGTCGATGAGCATTGGCGCGAAAAACGTAAATCGAACGAGGAAATTCGTTGTCCGTCAAACCAAACTATATTCGAATCGAATTCTAAGTGGATTACTATCGAGTTCAAAAATTTGATACAAATAGTAAAGAACGAAAGGATATTCTTTCTCTCTCTTCTTTTTTTTTTTTTTTTTTAATTTAATTTCCTTCTTTTGCCGATAACTCGAAAAATAAAAAATCACGAACCCCATCAACCTCTCACGGATTTATCGATCCATCGATGATAAATCGGTTAAGAAAATTAATCTTAACACAACTCTCGCAATTCTCGAAATTTCAAAATTCTTCTCATTCCTTTTCTCGAAAGTTGTGCTTGTTGAAATCTATGGAAGCTATGCTTCCTCGCACTTTGGATAACTCAATCTGAAAAGAAGGGCTTGTGAAAACGCGAGCATATCGCGGTTTTGATACAGCCACTTCGTGTAAAAGGAGGTTCCATTTACATCCGTCGACACAAGCATACAGCCGTACGAAAATCCGATGCTCCACGTCTTCGCGCGGATTATTCGTGTAAATGGGATTGTTCACCGAGCCAGCAATTTACAGCCGAGCGAGCAAGTAATACGCCGATTCTTCTCGAGCTCCTTCTGATATTCTGCCTTACGCCCTCCTCCTCTCCTCCCTCTTTCTCTCGTTTACCAATTGAAGAGATTGGCCAAGATTATTTCGTACTTTTCCACTTTTCCTCGCCCTGTCGCCAAAGCTAGGATCGATCGATGCTCGAATAGAATTTCGTGGAACGTTCGCCCAATCGGATTTCTGCCGATCTTTCGATCGATCAGAAGGGAAGACGAGCTTTTTTTAAATGGGATTCGCGGATAATTTAGGATGAAATTAGGATTAAAAAGTTGTACGAATGATTAATTTACCGATTTTATCCGTGAATTAATAAACGTTCGATCGAGTTAATAGGTTCAAGAGTATAAGCGAAAAATTTTCTCATCAAAATTCAAGATCCTCGAAAGAGGGGTCCATTTGCTTTTATCAATTCGGATTATATTTCGATAGATTCGCGAGGAGGAAGATTTTTTCGTTCTCGAATTTTTTTTCGATCGAAAAGAAACTCGACCAGTTAAATACTCTGATTACAATTATCAAAGTTGAAATGTCACCTAGCGCGAACGATGTTATCGCGCCTCTAATCGTATGGGCACAAGGACGGCGCGAGCAAACAGGTATATCTCTGGCCGATGACGAAACACGGAAAAGGGAACGATCGATGATGTAGGCACGACTAATTCAACATTCACCGATTGTATTGGGTGGAAGGTTCGAAAATAAATGGAAAATTGTCCGATAGGGCATGGCTTAGATAAAGCTTGCCAGAACGAGTTACGTTTCCAAGAATGAAGAGAAGCCAAACGATCCTTATTTTAATTAATTATTTTTAACAATTTAAATCCTGATGGAACATTTTTGCTTTCGAATTTCGAAGAATTCGCATCGATTGCCATTTTTAGAATTTACAAGCTTTGGATAGTGATATTTTTTATCGAAGCATAAAAAAGAGTTACACGTTTTCTGAACACATTTGCGTTCACAGGATAGCTCGAAATTGAATCTAAAAATATAAGAAACTTCCCCTCTTTTTCTTCGATAATTTTTTTAATTCAGATTTGCAAAAATTATCTGATTTTTCGTATAGAGAGAACTACTCTATATTCTAGTACACTGTTTTTCATTTAATCACTTTTCGAAGTTAGATAAGGACAGATAATCGTTGACCTACTACACTGTGGAAATAGACTTTTTTTCTTTTTTTTGTAATATATATATATTTCTATATTTAAATAAAATAATCAGAGACGTGGACAATAGAGATATTGAAAAAATTCAAACGTAAATTCTCGATGAGATTGATTGAATAATGAGCGAGCAAAAATTTCGAGTTCTAAGAATCATTGAGCACGTGCCATATCCAGTAATCGCTATTTTTAATTTTGTCCAACATCGGAACGATCTTCGAACAAACACAAGAATTGATATCGCAGTGACGATTATTATTAATTATAATATCCATAAGAAATTTCGAATTCGACAATTTTTTCACGACGTAGCACGATACGAGCGAGAAAAAATAGTTACATTATTAGGAATTAAGTTTATCGCAAGATTTTGAAATGGATCTTTAAATATCCACCAGTTGATGCGTCAAAGCATGATGCACCGCGATGGACGTATGACTCTTGGACACGTCATAGGCGCATAGTAATTTCTGCATTTTCCTCCCGTGATTTCATTATTTTATCTTTAAAAGCGACGCCGTTCTAATTTCCTTTGAAACAACATCTGTTTCAATGTCATGGAAGAAATCCAAAGAAATAAAACAAGTTAAACACAAAGAAGAAGTTTTACGTAATCCTATGTAGACCGTGAAAACGCCTAAACATAAGGTGTTTCTAGGCTTCGAATAGGGGGAGGGGGAAAAAAAAAAACGTATCATTACGTCAAAGATCGCAAGATTTATCTGGTGGAAAGAGACTTTCAAGGACTCCGAGTTTTGTCGCGTAATAGTATCCCAGTTTCGTATCGTATAAAAAGATCGTGTAAAAAGATGTCTAACCAGAACCAGAGAAGAGCAAAAAATAATAAACGGCGTAATAGTGTTTCAAAAAACGAAAAAAAAAAAAAAGAAGAGAGAGAAAAACTTGTTATACGATCAATAACCTGTTTAACAGGCATCGATTTTCATTTACCTTTTTTTTTTTTGCCTCTTTATTATCTAGCTCAAATAAAAAAATAATAAGAAGAAGAAGAATAAAAAAACGAAACGAAACGAAACGTGGCAACAATTAACGCACAGTGATCACGTTCATTTCAACGTGGAGGAAATCGTCCAAAAAAGGAACAAAGTTTCGAGATGATCCTGCATCCCGATCGCGGAAAAACCAGTCAAACTGCCCCGATAAATTAACCCGATACGACGAGGCCAAGATTATCCTTAACGGTACGATCGATTTGCGTAAACAACATGGGGAAACACGGTATCACTCGCGTTCCTTGACCCTGCGACGAGAAGAACCCTCGAGCGCGGGCCACGCCGAGAAGGGTCTTTTATCCGTGCGCTAACCCTTCCCCTACTCGCGGCATTCCGTGCTTAGCCTTAGAGGATCGGGTGGAAAGAGGATCGAGAAGAGAGGAGAGAAAGAGAGACGAGAGAGCAACGTTGCTACGAGAGCATGCCCTTGCTGCTACCAAGGTGTAACGTCCTGATACACCAGTCTGACCACTCTTCCACCACTCCCTTCACCCTTCCTCCCCAACCATCGTCCCGTTCCTCCTTAGAACGAGCCTGTCTTCTCCTCGTATTTCCTCGCGAAACTTTCTAACCCAACAACAACAATTTTCAGAAAACTCGTACCCGAAAGCTATTTTGTATATCGAGTTGGCAAGTATCTCGAGTTTGGAATTTATTATATCGTATTGAATTTTATCATTGATTCGCAATATCGAATTAAGAGAGAAGGAAAATAAAAATTCCGAAAAATCGAGATATTCGTATTTCTGGGGTGGCAACATTCCCGATGATAACGTCTCGCCTCGATTTCGATAGATGTTGAAAAATGTTCATTTTGCTTGGACGCTTGGAGTGAGGGAATTTTCAAGGTTGGATAGAAGAACGTTGTAGGTGGTGGTGGTGGTGGTGGGTAGTTTGGTGACGCGTGTCTCCATAGATGCGTCGAATTGAAAACTAGAGCAAAAATAAAGCAGCGAGTAGGTCGAGCTCGCGGCCGATTTGAATTTCATTCAACTCGACGTTTGCGTTCTCGTGGCGCGAGAAATGGCCACAACAGTTGCCGTTCACGAGTAACGAGTTGTATCTCTTTGTGGGGATCGGTCGATGCCCACCCAACGGCGAATCCTTTCGCGTTTCTGATCCAGGCATTTCACGATTATTATTGCTACGAGTGCGTGGAGCTGTATCGCGAATGCATAACGAATAGCGATATCAAACTGGTAGATAACACGCAGGATGCAACGTACAATTGAGTTTCTAAACTTAGAACTGTGATAAAACGTGCACTGTTCTTTAGCCATTTCTTACCGCCGGATAATAACATACGTGGAACCTTGTGTAATGTAATAATTTTCTTATCTATTGCTTTTTCTTTCCTTCGTATATTAAATTCTATTTTAAAATTAAAATTAGAATTAGAAAGATTTATAGAGAGAACTAAAATAAAACATGATTTGTAAATATTCTAATTCTAGGTCATTTTCGTTGATAAAAAAAAAAGATACATACAAACAGCATAATTTCGCACTCGTAACGAGTAACGTTTTACCGATAATCAAACAAAAACAAAAAAAAAGGACAAAGATACAAGTATACGTATATAAGATATTTTTACACACGAAATGTCGATGTCTAAAATTTATCATAATTATCTTACGCTATAAATTTTTTTTAAATTATCTTTTCGTTGAAATTTTACAATGCTTTATATACTACGCCTTACATACTTTTTATTATTATCCTCGAAAAAAGTCCTTAAAAAAAAAAAAAAAAAGATCAATGTTCCCTCTACATACCTTTCTACTCTATTCCGTAAGCAAATTAAAAAGAAACGCGACCGATTCCTCGTTCTTTTCCAGGCTACCCTTATACGGGTCGCGCATGATCGGTTTGTTATATCGTTATAGGCAACGAGCGAATCGAAACACAAGCAAGGAGGCCGCGTATTGGTCGCGTGTCGTCACTGAATTCCAAACGGCCGCGTGTTTCGAATGCGGAATAAAGCGGCGATTGCATTCTTGCCGCGTCGAAATAATAAAACTGTTACTCACCAATAACGATGTTCGCCGCGGTTCCCTCCGGAATGGATCGGCAGTAAACCCTGCACAGAGAAAAAAAGGCAAACGTCCAATTAATCCACGCGTCGATAGTACGAGGCACGCTCTCTCTCTCTCTCTCTCTCTCTCTCTCTCTCTCTCTCTCTCTACTACTACTACTACTACTACT